GAGTAACATATAGGATATACAATTTATATGGTTCAGTTATTCAGTATTTATTTGGTTTTGGGTGAGTAAGTGATCTTTGAGAAGAGACTTGAATTTATAAACAGGTAGTGTTTCTTTTATATTTACAGGTAATGAATTCCAGATTTTAGGGCCTTTTATGTGCATTGAGTTTTTGCATAGTGTGAGATGGACACGAGGAACATCAAAGAGTGATCTGTGCCTTGTGTTATGGTCATGTGTTCTGTTGAGGTTGGCAAGGAGATGTTTGAGGGGAGGGTTAATATCAAGTTAAGTGTTCTATGTATTAATAGGTGCAGTAATAAGTATGGATGTTTTGTATGGTGAGTAGGTTGAGTGTATTGAATGTTGGTGGAGTGTGTTGCCTGTAGTGAGAATTTGTTATCATTCTAACTGCAGCCTTTTGTTGGGTAATTAGTGGTCTGAGATGGTTAATTGTTCTTGAGCCCCATGCACAAATTCCATATGTGAGATAGGGGTAAATAAGAGAGTGATATAGGGCCAGGAGGGCTGACTGTGGAACATAGTACCGTATCTTCGATAGTATGCCTACAGTCTTGGAAATTTTCTTAGAAATTTGTTGTATATGTGTATGAAATTTGAGTCTATTATCGAGGTGGATTCCTAAGAATTTTCCCTCTGTTAGCTTTGTGATAGGTGATCCGTTTATCATTATGTTAAGAGGTACATCTGTAGCTCTGTTACCAAACTGAATGAAGTAGGGTTTGTCAATGTTTAGTGTAAGTTTGTTAGTCCCATCCAGGTAGATATTTTGTAATTCGGTATTTACAGTATTGGCTAGCGTGACTGGGCTCGGGTGAGAGAAGACGTTATGTAGTGTCATCTGCAAAAGTGTGGGTTTGAGTAATTGCGAAGCATTTGGTAGGTCATTTATGTATAGGAGAAAGAGAAGAGGGCCAAGGACACTTCCCTGTGGGACACCAACTGTAATTGGTTGTGCGGAAGAGCTTGCCCCATTTGCTACACATATTGGCTTCTGTTGCTGAGGTATGACTTGAGGTAGTTGAGGGAGTGCCCTCTTATACCATAGTGTGACAATTTTACATGGAGCAAGTCATGGTCAACTGTATCAAAAGCTTTACGTAAGTCAATGAAGATCCCCAGTGGGACTTCTTTTTTCTCTATTGCAGTGTATATATGTTCAAGCATGTGTATAATAGCATCATTAGTATTTTTATTAGGCCTGAATCCAAATTGGAAGGGGTTGAGAATGTTTTGGGAGTGAGGTAGGAGTAGATTTGTTTTTGATTAATTTTTCGAAGTTTTTGGAGAGGGTGT